AATCACAACACTTTTCAGATAAAATCTGCGTAATAATGTCATCGATAGACGAATTCGTGAACTCCCCGGCATGGCTTATCAAGGTATTATGATCGTTGTGTAAATTGATATAATAAATAACGAAGTATTAGGATTATGCTTCTATATAGAAGAAAAAAATTGCGGTCTGTGCATAAAATTTAATATTTTGTTAATTATGGTGAATCATATTCACATACAATCTCTCTCTTTTATTAAATAATTGATATATTTAAACAAAAGAAAGTTACGTTAGTTACATCATTTATAAATGGAGAACGGATGGACCCATTTTAATGTTATTTGTGTTTTTAGATTTGTCTTATATATTTTATCAATTAAAATAATAATTATAAAAGACTCAAAAATTATGTAGTGACAATAGTGATTTGTCATAATAAAGCGCATCTGACAATTCACGTAATTTTGTCTATGTCTATGGTTTATTTTAATCATTGATTTGCTGTTAGTCTGTGTCATTTGTAAAATTAGTGCCAGGTATAAAGTGTTTTTTTTTAAAAGTATTTTTCATTAAGAGTATTTTTCAGTATAGCATTGTGTATGCAAAATTGATCAAATATAATAAAGATATTTTATGTTCATGAATTTTACAAAAGAACCAGTATGAATTTTTTTCAGACTTACATAAAAGTAGCTATTATCTTCTTCTCCCGCACTATGCCCGCGTAAATAACTTATAGTACATGTCACCTTCGTATATTATAGCTAACCATAATTGAAATTAAAAAATAGACCGTTAGTTTCGGAACTTATTCAATAAAAACAAACAATTAAATCTTTCTTATTTTATAATATTAGTATTTAGACTGATACACTTACTTTTTCATACAAAATAGTTTTTACTAAAACCCTTCTACGATTTACATACATATAAAAAAAATATTCGAATTTAAATCCTTCTATTTTTAAACCGTTTAAAAATTACATTTACATACATATAAAAAAATAATCGAATTAGATCCTTCTATTTTTAAACCGTTTAAAAATTACATTTTTCTGTTACAAAACAGATAGTCTCTAATATTAAAATTTGTAATTGCTCTATGAATAGGAATTATAAAATACATAATTCCATTTAGTGCTTTCCCACAACTTTATTCACACGCATTGTTATTGTGAGATCGCAGGCATATTAAAGCATAATGAATTTGTAGATTTAAGATAAGTTGGTCATTAGATATAGTATATATATCCCCTATCTAAAAAATAAATCTTATTATTTAGATAGGAAATAAATAAAAATAATAACATCTTTATTACATAGGTATACAACCTTTCATTCTTTGCCACTTTACCGTATATGTATATAGGTATATATAACTAAAATTTATTGAATCATAGGCAAATAAAAATAAAATATCAAAATTCAAGTTACGCAGGGAAATGACAACCTGTAGTTTACAAAATTGTAAACTCAGAAATCGATCAATAGTTGCGTCTGTAAAAATTAAATAAACAAATAATATAAATTGAATACTTCATTTGTTGTTTGCGTTCAAAGAAAACATATCGCACAACGAAAACAATCTGGTAAAAAAATTAATGATTACAATATGGCAATTTCATGCACCCGTGATTCCCACGTTTTTGTTGTTAAGTTTTCTGGTCATCGTTCTTGGAATAATATCTGAACGCTGTCAGTTAGTCAGTGTTAGTTTTCGTTTTAGGTCCTTTTTTTACTTTTAATACATATTATAATGAAATGGGTAATAAAGACACCACTCACTGTTAACATTTGCATTTACATTTCTAAAATAGGATGTGTAAATCTTAAAAAAGGTACACCTTATTTATTTATTTATTTTATTCTTGAAAAACTAACTGCTATTACTTAAAATAAAATTAAGAACATTAATTTCGTAAGTAATATTTCGAATCAATGAGATATTAATTATTAAAGTCTATTTAATTATTTCATAATCTAGCATAGAGTGTGAAGTTTAGATGACAAAAAAGAACTAAAATAATATAGTGAATTTCACAGTCGAAATATGCGTAACATTTTTTACCTTACCAGTACACGCACTACTCGTGAGAAACTTAATGTTGGAAATTACGTTCTATAAAGTTTATTGATAGAGTAAACTTGTAACCAGGGTAAACAAGCAAATATAGCTGTTTATGAACATTCTAATTTGGATTACCAGCAAGAGTTATATTATATAAGACACATATTATCACCTATCGTATATATCTATATAATTTATCGTAATTCCTTTCAATTTTGCTTTTGAAAGATATTCATGAACTTCACTCTACGACTGTTGACAAGTTTTTTGGATAAACGATATTATTAATATGACGACATTGTTCTTGTCCAAGGTAAACGTTAGATGCAAATAGATACCTATTACTTTAAGTTTAATTTACTTACTTAGTTTTTTATCATGCTTCATGATAATTCAAATGATCATTTGTTATGAAAGCAATTGCAAGATTAAACGTAAGTGCTATACTTTTGAATGGGATTGCGATTGGTTTTGAAATTAGCCAATTAGGTGACAGATTTCACTTTACAATTCAAATAGTTTATTGAAAAACTTAAAATATAACTTTACCGTATTCAACTTAAAACATATTTTTTACCTTATATAATTTCACTGCTTATGTTTTGCTTTTAGTCTAGCCAATATCCGACCATTTCCCGTAAAATTTGCCAAGCAGCACAGATTTTCTTTCCTACCTAGTGCCCACTTTAAAGTTGACAGATCAACTAGCTCAAAGTTGGATTGAAAATAAGTTCGATAGTAGGTGCATAGTTTGACTAATTCTAAACAACTTTAAACTTACAGATATCTCTGAAACACGATATTTTCTACTTTATTTCCCGAGTGAGAGTGATAATCACCCAACTGCAAAGGAAGGGTTATGTTTTTCGCGCGTATCTTGTATCGTTGTTTGTAATATTCTTTATGACCTCACATCTACTATTTAATTTCATATGTAATTTATTTAATAAAACAAACTAAAAAACTTAAAAAAAAACTAAAAAGACATAAATAAATTTATAATAAAAAAAAAATCGCCTGGGTGAAAAATAACTAAATAAAATGGCTGTAACAAGATACAATATTTATGCAACATCATACATAACATGCAGCCCGAGTAAAATCTTTGCCTTTTTTATATTGGTTAATATTAGCGATTGGATTATAGATTTCCTAATCACTGTGTTACGAGAATGAATAAATCGACACTGAAAAACTACTATCTAGAGATTATACCAAGAAATTTTTTCTTAATATATTAAGTTGGAAGCAATAAACCAAATAGTCTTAAGTTGTTTTCAATTCAATGTGCTCAAATGATGTGAGTGGATTTTAGTTATTTCTTCATGTGGACACCAGTTTTACAACCCAGATAAACATAGGTAAATTAATTCAAATATTGTACATATTATATCGCCTATTTAAACTAGATATTTGTGTCCGTTTTACCAAATTACTAAGGAGTTAATACCAAACTAAGGAGTCGCATTGCATTTCACCATTTAATAGGAACGAACTAACGAATTTAAGCAATGTCTAAAGTTATGATATTCGTAACGCGTCATAAATATGTCAAGGGATAAAAGGAAAAAAAAAATTGAGATTAAACTAATCTGCTTAGACGATTCGTAATATTAGGCGTTTGCTACTTAAGCTATGCCATGTTCTAGGTTAGTGAAAATGGGTGTAAGTGTTGTTGTTTGGTGATATTCAGAATTATTCCATAAAAAATTATAAATTTTTTGTTAATTAATTGATAGTAAAATTATTGTTTTCTTATAATTTTTAATTCATTGCCTACTCGATATTGATTAATTATATATTACCCGAAGTTGTTAGAGCAGTTGGAACACCAAACATTTTACAGTTGTCTGTAAATAAATCTTTCTTCATTTAATGCCTTAAAGTATTATAATACATAATCCACGATTACGTACTTCTACTTTCCGTATCAGTGGCGAGATCAGTGATCTTTACTTTTATGATGGTCATTGTATACAGTCTGATTCATTTGCGTTATGTCATATCCATGTATACACATAACAGTACTTTTTTCTGCAATCGATTTTGAATTAAGATTTCCATAGAATAAGGTCTCAAATCGATTTCAGAAGTTTGACAAATTTATATTACCTGATGTAGTATTTAGCAAACATAGTTCAGACGAAAAATTAATCTCGAGATGCAAGGAATAGGGAGTTTGCACTTGTGCGGGTAGTAAAAGGTAATAAGTAAATTAATTAAGACAATATTATTTTCCTGAGTATAGCGAAAAGCCATGTTTTTTTGAATACTACTTTATAATTATCGTAGTAATATTGAACTTTGATGTAATTAGAAAGATTCTTAAAAAAGAAAATTATGCCGTAGCCATCCAAAGGTAAAAGAACCCGTTCCTCTCCTACTGTTAAATTCTGAAAAACTTACACAATGTTAGATACGTATTATAGTGTTATTAATCGTAAGGCGCTTGTTCGTGCATAAAGGTGTACAGTTAACTTTCGCGTGTTGAGTAATTGTCTAGTTAATGTGCTCAAATAGGCAAATGCCTACAAAGTTTGCTTCGAACATTTGCGAATTTGTGCAAATTTTGGAAACACATTTGAAGTATGCCATAATGAGTTTGTGCTGCCTGCCATAATTGTTGCAATGTTTAGCAAAATGTTAGCGGTTGTGTTAAAAGTGGAGCAGAATAATTATGTTTTCATATTAAACTTCTTCAAACAGAACAGTAATTATGGGATCCGTTAACGAAGAGCATAAAAACCGATACATTGTAATGGCGCATGCTTCGAATAAAAAATATTTTATCCGTGCTTTATAGTTGTCCATTCTACCAGCCATCTTTGCAACAAGATATGACAACAAATTATTTGAAAACATAGACAAAAAAAATATATTTTGTGAATGTGTAATGAAATATTGATGTTATGTCTAACGCCTGCATAACAGCACGTTATATTTGTTGGTCAGGTGTCGGGGGCGCAGCGAGGGCGCGAGCGGCATGCGGCCCCGGCGGCAGACGCCAATGGAGGTCGGCTAGCGGCGCGCGCGCATCCCCCGCGCCCGCGCGCCCCTCCCCGCCCCGCCGACGCCATGGACCCCGCTGACGTGCCGAGACACCGACCCCTCGCCTTCGATAAGGTAGATGACTAATTATCAGTGGTCGGAATTAGGTAGAGTTATTCATGTACTTACACTGATTTCATACAGCGAAAGAATAAAGTGGATATGCCTCAAATCCCGAGATTAATTTTAAAGAGCAGAAAAAATCCCGTGATTTTCTAAATAAAAAGTTATTTACTTTTACACAATTTAAACTATGTACTGCACGCACGACGTTGCCAAACTTACATCAATGACATCGGATGTCCAAAGTTGCAAAATACCAATACGCGCGATGTTGCCACGAAGGTCGACATTAATATCAACATTTCGATGCAAGTACATAAATAACTCTACCTAATTCCGACCTATTATTATCATTATATTTATTTGTTTTAAAAAACTCTTACCCTAATCAATAGCCGTTTTGCAAATTATTTTATTCTTTAATTCCAGTGCTCACTTGACCTTTTATACCACATACATAATTGGTGGACTTATTAGATGTTTACTTAGGATGACACTTTTGGAGTTGACGACAGTTGGAGTCTCTATATTAAATAAGATAGTGCTTCCTACTAATTCACCGCAGGGTTTTTGATCTTTCCAAAGAGTGGACATTCTTAGGTGGCAATTGCCTTACATGATTCAAATTACATGAGTGAGATGATTGCTTTACCTCCGATTGTTATATTGAATTAATCTGTCCATATTTATATTATCAGAATGTTTAGAATATAAATGGGATTTTAGACAAATAATAATTGTTTTTTAGAATTCTGGTAAGTCAAAATATTCGAAGTAATTAAGTCATCCATAATTATATCAAATAATTTATATGCGTGAAAAAAATGTGATAACTTTATTTAAACTAAACCAAATATCATGCTAACCTCAATAATGGTACCGCACATACATCATCGTCAGACAAAATCGCATGCTGAAAGTGCTAATTTTTGCTGACAACACCGTTCTGCTGGCGTAAGCGGATCGTGCCTGAATGTAATTATAAAATATTCGTTAAATCACACGCGAACATTCCGACAGAATTTGTCAAACATTACATAGTTGAATCGAGTGTAACCATATGAAATCGTGTGTGAATAAAAACGGAATACTGATGCTATTGTTTCCTTAAGTAGTGTGACAGATAATTATTAAAAATAGTAGACAGTAAATATAAAATCAATTTATATGATTTTAATTAAAAGGTTAATTTTAGAGAACAATAAAATCACTTATTTTTATAATCTATGCATTAGCAAAGCCTATAACAGTCTAATTTTAGAACGAGGATAAACTTAATACCAGGTTTAACCCTTTATCCGTCCAAAATAAGCTAAAACAAGTCTCTAATGATTTCAAAATAAGTAATTTTGAGCTTGACCAAAAATGTCGCAACAATAATTATTTTCATTTACACAATTAAGTAGATTTTAACGTAACAGCAAAATAAATAGTAGAAAATATCAATATAATGAATAAATACAATTCACATTTCTGAAAACAATAAAAAGTACCGTAAAGTACGACAGTTAAAAATAATAACGTTATTGTTGCGATATAAAATAATGAAAAACGTTAAAATGCTTTGACATATTATATGCAGGCCGTGTCTACATCGCTTCCATTTATTTTTAACAGAGCCGGTGGCTCAGAAAATCGATAGGGTCGAACGGCTACGTGCCAACGACAGGTTGCTTCTCACATTTCCCACCAAATTGGGATTTTCCGTAAATTTTTAAAGTGTCCGAGTACCGAGTACACGTCGGTATGCCGGCCATTACCGCTGAAGGATTTCGTCTTGCGTGCCTTAGCGGCAGACCTATTACTGACTTATTAAATATTTTATGATACTTACTTACGGGATTCATTTTCCTCTTATTTGGCTATAAAGAAACAGCTGTTTTCCCGTGACTTCGCACGCGTTATTGATACTCTCACCTGCATATGATGTAGCTTTGCGTCGGTGAAACAATATTAATGATGGGATCAGAAAAACTATCATAAGCCCTTTCCATTTGAAATTTGAAAAACATTCACGAAATTCACACTGAAACTATTCGACATATGGGGTATGTTCCGATATACACTGCGACCACTGAACAGTATGACGTCAATTTAGTATACTGGAAGCCCGTTCCTTTATAGCTAGTTATACTGGTGACTTTTTAAAACGGAACGCAGTCCAGTATACTGTTAATCCTATTTTTTGGCGCCATTTTCAAATTTGTTAATGCAAGGTGAATATAAATATAAAGATTCCTTCTTTTCAAAAGAAAATTGGAAAATTGTATAAAAAAGTATTTATCAATTAAATCCATCTTATAAATAAACGTAAGTATTTTTTTTTTGTTTATTTAGAAACTTATCATTTTCTGATTCTGTTTCGACTGATCACGTGATCAAAAGCACTGCGAGCACCTTACCTCGAAATCTCCAGTGCTCACAGTACAAATATGGCGGCAATTTATGACGTCATAAATTTCCCTAGGGTACTGTAGCAGTGTACTGGCAGTCCATAACGGAACAGATTTTTCAGCAGTAAGATCACTGCACAGTGCTCGCAGTGTATATCGGAACATACCCATGATTATGATCACCGTTCAGAAATAATTTTATTGAACTTTGATACATTATTTAATTTTGGGTAAATTATTTTTCCTCGTTTAATAAAAACAAGTATCGTATTGGAAGTCGAAGTAATCTTTATTTATATACAATAATGTCTTCTGTATTTATATTACGTTAAAAGAGAAATTCTGGGGTATTTTTCAAGACAAAGATGGTTATTACACTTACTTTTGGTTTAATTGTAAAGAAATATTACTGATAGCTAGGTACTTTTATACACACGGCTGCATGTCAAATATCTGCAACGGATTTTGGCCTTTACCATCAGTGTATTAAGATTTAAAAACGAGTGAGGATATATAACGAATGAGAAAGCATAATTCTTGAACATAACGATTTATTTACATAATACTATTGGCAAATACAGGAACAGAGTATATTCAAGAATTGGAAATTAGCCAAGAAAATAACTTGGGAGCTAATCGTTCCTTTATTAATAAACATCCCAAAGTATCCCTTTTAAGCCTTTAATCTAATATTATAAAAGAAAATATTTGATTATTTGCATTAAATAGACTCCGATACTACTGAACCGATTTTAAAAACGATTTTACAAATTCGCAAGAAAGCAGATAATTACTTCATTTAATTATACCTACTTACTTGAGTAGCTCGGTGACGTAGTCGCCGAGGCCCGCGATCTTTTTTGTTAAGCAATTTTGACCAGAGAAATATTATATCGAGCTACTCCGTGCTTCAGAAGGCACGTTAAGCCAGTGGTTCCGGCTGTATTTGCAGTCTTTATTACCGGCCAATCCAACTTGGACCAACGTGGCCAGCGCCCATCCGCCTTAACCATCCATAAGGAACGCCTGAGCCCCTGCAGTGCGTACATAAAAAGGGCTAATGATGATAAACTGCGCTATCGGGCTATATACATACATAAAACATAATCTACATATCATTATACGAATATATCATGACTGTATGTAACAACTACATTTTAAATGCTTACACACATATTATATCACAGGAAGTTGGAGCGATAATCGTGTATTATAGATCTTACACATGACTATTAGCATTAGCAATGACACAACAATAATCTTTAGTCACTAGAAACAGCCTTGAGTTGAATCGTGTCCAGTAGTCACTGCTCGTGACCTGTGGACTAATTCTCTAATTATATTTGTATCTGTCGTAATACCTTTCAAAGGCATATGTCGATTTTAATAAGGATTTATGGAATCTTGTTACTTTTAAAGTCGCAATCTCTAATACAACGAATAATGATTTGAATGATCAAAAACAGCTTCAGCTTACTAAAACCGGTCGAAAGATAGCTATGAGCATTTGTTATGACATTTATCAATAGCAAAGATATTTGCGTCTAACGCTTGACTTAGACAACACTAAAAACGTAAAAATTAACGTTCTCATTCATTCAATATCTTTCATAAAATCACATATCAAGCCATTGTAGAGTGAAGTTGGTTCGTGAATATCTTTCAAATGTTGGATTGAATGAGATTCCGATTAATTTTAATACTAAGCAATTAGACCCCTGTAAGTGCTTCTTACTTAAATCTACCTAATTGTGAGTTCAATGACCAATGCCTCCCAACTCAAACAATTACAAAGAGGAAGGAACGAGCAAATGCCACCGAGAGCATTGTTAATTATACGTGTTGTCGCCTTTGATTCTAGAGCGCTCCGACATATTGCCTATTATATCCGTGAACGTAGACCCTTTGTCGTACCGGAACCGGCACAATATCTTGAGGTTGAACAATTACAGCACGCTTTTGACTATGATGATGATTGTTCTTTGTTGCTTGTTTTGTTACAAGTTTTCGACGAAAAGCGCAGAAAAAGCCCAGCCCGTAGAAATATTTTCGCTGACCGATGCTATATAAATTATAGCACTGGTGAACTAGACTTTGAAGGCTTACTAACGGCGGGCGAGAGAAAATAGGATGGTCTGCAACATTTTTCTAAGAATTTGTCTCCAGACATTGTAGCAAGCGATTCATATAGCAAGCGACTATAATTCATTGATATCAATGAAACATTTTTTTGGAATTACGTCTAGATATTAAACCTCGGATTTCGTATTCGAACTGGGTTTCATCAGTTGCTTCTAATACTAGTCTCAATATTCGTGTGTTCAAAACAAACAATCTTTAGATGTAATGAATTGGGGAGCGCGGGGTGCGGGGGCGGTTGGGTCGGCGCAATCGATCGTTCCCGTGACGTCACCGCCTTAGCCTTCGCCCTTAGCCACCCCGGCCGACGCTGGGACTCAATCCAAGACTACTTGAAACACTACGAGAAATGTCGCGAATTTTACAAAATGAAAATTCATAACTCCTTTTTTCATTGGGCCAGTTAATTTTAATTCATAAGATAGTGTTATATGATTCTTCTATATTTTAAAGTTAGTACCACAGAACATAGAAAGTGGT